TGCAGCCCTCCCGGTGCCCCGGCCCTGCCGGCCCTGCCGGTGGCTCCGCCGCCCCCCGAGCTGGGACGCGAGTGGAGGAGGTGAGGGGGGAAGGAGGGGGTTGGCAGAGCCCCTGGAAATCTCGGTCAGGATCGCCAGGCAGTGTCCTTGAGCGGGGTGTGTTGCAGCGGAAACAGGCGCTGCAGGACTCGCACCGAGACTGGGTGGTGTATTTGTAACTTTACATGCTTTCTGGCTTTTATCCCAAGCCGGAGCCTTCTTACATGGCAATCAGATTTTCTTACGGTATGGGATCTTGATTAGAGGCATTTTCTGCCTTTCTGCAGAGGCAGCACTACTAACAGCCAGGAAGATAAGTTGGTATTACTTGTTCCTGTATGTCATAAACAGGATTATTCATTAAATTCCTAATGTATATGTAAGCAGGTTGTTCCTGGTGAGAAGGGACGCTATCTTGTTTTTTTCAAGACTCCTGAAATGGCAGGGCACAGAGGTCAATTTAATATTTTTTATCTTATTACCAGAAGTCTACTGCAATGGAAGCAGTCAAGATACAGATTTCACAATACATGTCATAAGCAATTTTAGACAAGTACATGCTTCAAAAACTTGTAACCTGTTGGACTGCCAAGTGAATTAAAGAAATCCTAAGCCTCGCAAGCTTCTCAGGATGCTTAGGAGAGTAAAGTGCTCTAAATTCTGGGAAGTTTTTTTGGGGACAGTGAATAAACAATTTAAGAGGTTGGTACACCCGGCTTTGTTGATGCAGTCACACCAGCTTGCAGAGGTGAGTGAGACACAGAAGTAAAACTAAGGAAGAAGCAAGAGTGCTTAAAAAACACACAAAAGGGGTGTGAGAGGTACTATCAGGTCAGCTCAATGTTTCAGTGGGGCTGAGGTGAAAATAAATTTCTCCTGTTAGTAGGTCTTTGCTTATTTTTGTGACTGCTGTTTTTATGGGTTATAGGGACAGAGTTTGAGATTGTGGAGGAAGTGAGCTCCAGAGAATTAATGTAGTAAGTGGTGATCGTAAGCCCAGGTTGAAAAAAGGGTAATCATGTAGGCTGGAGATGCAGTTGTGCTGACAAAAAGGAAGACTTGAGGGTGATAGTGTCGGAAAGGTTGGAGGGGAAAACTAGAGAATGAATAGAACACGTCTCCTGACATTTTGAAGAGAATAATTTGGGAAAGGAATTGCAGCAGGACTCTTCCACACTGGATCGTGGGATAATTCAGGTTGGAAGGGCCCTTGAGAAGTCTCCAGTGCAGCCTATTGCTGAAGGCCAAGTCAGTTGGGAGATCAGACAGTTGCTCAGACTTTCATCCCAGTGGGTCTTGAAAGTCTCCAAGGCTGGGAGCAGCTCAGCCCCCGGCTCTGTTGCCTGGCTCTCACCATGCAGACAATGGTCTGAACCTCTCCAGTTGAACCTTCCTTCTTTCAGTTTGAAAAGGCCTCTTGTCTCTCCTCTTCCTGCACTGCACCACAACATGTTTGTGTCGCTCCATCTCTTCAGTCACCACACGGGTGTTGGAGGGCTGCTGCTCTGTCCCCCCAGAGTTCTTCTTCAGGCTGAACTGGCCCTCTTACACAAGCGCTGAACCTCCAGCCATCTCTGTCTCCCTTCAGGAAACTTGCTCCCATTTGTCAAAACATAGCCGCCTGCTGAGGGACCCAAAATTGGTCACAGGATGTCTGTCGGGTCTTAGGAGTGCCAAACAGAGGGGCATAATCCCTTCCCTCCATCTCCGGTTAAGGTATTCTTGTAGCCCAGGGTGCTGCTGGCCTCTTGCCAGGGTCACTGCTAGCTCATGCTCAGCTTGCTTTCTGTCAGGTCCACCAAAGCCTTTTCAGGTGAGCTCTCACTGGCCACTGGGCCTCCAGCCTCTCTTGTTGCAGGGACTCGTAATTCCCAGGTGCAGGACTGTGCATCTGTCCTGGTTGGATTTTATAAGGCACCTGTTAATCTAGTCTGTCAGGGACCCTCAGATTAGCAGCGCTGCCCTCAAGCTTGTGAACTAGTCAGTGTTCTTCCCCATGGCATTTTGTTACCTCCTTCAAGTTGTTGATGAAGTTAAACAGGAATGGTCCGGAAGTAGAGGTGGTTACCAGTCTCTGGGCAGAGCATAACTTAGTAACCACTGCCCTCTGAGCCTGATCAATTAATGATTTTTTTACTCAGGTTGTGCACCCATCCAGACCGTAGTATCTTAAATGGGATGAAAAAACTGTGAGAGATGGCATTGAAAGCCTTGCTTTCACCCACTCCACTGAGCAAAGGTCTTGCTTTTACTACCAGTGTAGCAGCAGAAGGCTCTGTGTCTTTGATGTCCTTCACAAGCCTCAGCTGCAGGTGAAGTTTGATTTTCCTTAAGACACACTGACACGCCTAGATAATATTTCTAATTCCTCCTTTGTGGCCTGTCCTTGTTCCCACTCCCTGTATGGCATCTTTGAACATGGGAGCTGAGTCACAAGTTCCTTGCTTAGCCGTGTCGGTCTCCTCATCTGCTTGTCTTCCTGAATGGACTACTCTTGATCCTCGAAGGGCTTAAAAACCTGCCAGCTTTGCTCAGCTTTCTTCTCTGCCTCTCACAGGACCCCTCTTCCCTGACCAGAGTGAAGTCTGCTGTACTCGTCAGCTGGTTGAATGTAGAAGCCAGATTCTGGCCTTCCTTGACCAAGTTTTACCGTCTGATTAAGTATTGCAGAGATGAACTTCCCTGACTGCACTTGTGACTTGGCTCTTGGCAGCAATTTTTGTTATTTGCTTTACTCTTCCAGCATTTTTCTTCCTGTGCCTCTCTAGGACCCAATTTTGCAGAGGAAAGCTGGATGAAATGGCATCTTCATTGACACCTGGGACTGCACAAATGCCTGACAGTGCCACTGCAGGGGAAGATCACTTCTCCTCCCTGCCCTATCGCAGTTTTCTGACTTCTGAAAGCAAAAAGTTAACAGCTGTACAGTGTTTTAGAAAGGGATGCTCTCAGATTGAAGGGAGAAAACAGACCTGTAGAAGCAGTAGTGAGTCAGGTCTGGCCCAGATTGAAAGGAAGACCAATGGTGTGTAACACTCGCAGTGTGAATGTGAAACGAAGTTGCTGCAGCACGTAGTTTATGTGCATTCTCTAACTGGGATTAAGAACTTGGACCTCTTGGTATTTTCTACTGAGTTACAGAAAGCAGCACAAGCTTTATGCAGAGCACTGAATGCACATTCCTTTGTATGGAAAACAAGGTTTTACAAGGCTATGTTATTGAATGTACTTTAAACTGGAGTTGATATTTTGCTTTTCAAGAATTTGGTGACATAGGTTGTGTAAGACAGACATCCTTCTGACACTCCAAAACTCATTAGTTTCTCCAGAGTTTTTGAATGGACCCATTTTTGGGGGGACCTGTTGGATTAAATGTAGGTACTGTGAAACTGCTGAGGTAATTGCCATTTCTGTGAATGAAGTTTGGGGCAGTTGGGTACACCTCCCTGCATTAGTATTGTGGTTCTGGACTTGACCTTTATAGCCTGTTGAGGTGGCAGTTGTTTGTGTTTAGAGGGCTGTGACTACTAAATTAGAGAAAACTGTATAGTTGTATTGTCTTATTAGAAACTGGGGTTTTGTTTTTACAACTTACTCCTTTTTCATTGCTGGAGAACACAGAAGCTCTGTTGTAAACAGTGTGTTGGGCCATTTTACAAAAAGGGAGAGGTGTAACTGGATGACCTGTGTCACCTTCCTGCTTTAAAGCGCTGGCAGGCTTGGAGATTGCTCTTGTACTTAGGCATTTCTTTTGTATTTAGGGGCTGCTGTCTTAGTAAAGCACTAATTACTTTCATCCTTAAAGAGTGCTAAAAATAAATTATTTACAGATTTGGCTTTGTCCTCTCTCTTCTTTACCCTCTACATCCCCTTCACCTTTAGGAAACTAGCAGGATGCACCCTTTTCATCACGGGGGCAAGCCGAGGCATTGGCAAAGCCATTGCTTTGAAGGCTGCCAGGGATGGTGCAAACATCGTGATAGCTGCCAAGACAGCTGAGCCTCACCCTACCCTGCCAGGGACTATCTACACTGCGGCCGCAGAGAGTAAGTTGGAACACATCAGGGTGGGCTTCAGGTGCTGGGCTGGATGTGTGCCCAGGCTTAGTTGTCATACTCCTCTCAGCTCCAATTCACCTTTAATAAAATAAGCTTTATGCTTCTCTTGTCTCCCAGGAATGCTGGGGGGTATCAGAATATTATTGTAATTACTGTGTATAGATGTCAATTGAGACGTATGTCCGTAGCATACATATTCTCATCATTAAGATGTGGTTTTGTCTTCCCTGTTCTTTACACAACATGGAAAAGGGTCGCAATTTGAGAGTGATTTCAAATGCCACCTTGAAGCATGGGAACGAAGGAGAGATTCTCAGTAGGGTCATGCTGTTATTCCACCTGGGAGCAAATTTTTTTTATGTTTATTTTTTTAATTTTGCAGTTGAAGCAGCTGGAGGAAAAGCTTTGCCGTGTGTCGTTAATGTGAGGGAAGAACAACAAATTATTAATGCTGTGGAGAAAGCTGTGAAGACTTTTGGAGGTATGCTAAGGTGTGTGGGGGGACATTAGCAGGCAGATTGCTCAAACAAGAAGGAAAAATAACAACCTGCCTTGATCATGCTTTTTGTCTTTAAATGCTAATGTGAAATGGCTTATTTTAAAACCAGGGATTGATATTTTGGTGAACAATGCAAGCGCCATCTCTTTGACTGGCACTTTGGAAACAGAAATGAAGAAGGTCAATCTTATGATGGATGTCAATGTACGAGGAACCTACCTCACGTAAGTGCTGAGACAGAGAAGCACTGTAACAACAGCATCAGTTTTTCTGAGAAATTTTGTAACTGTCTTGAGGCCCTGGAATTGAAGAGCAGGTGTTCACAGGAAAATGCTCAGTTATTGGCTCATGCGTTTCACAATTCCGGTGGTCCTTGTTTTGCTTATTTTCTGGAAACAGTTTCAGTAGGTGGGATTGTCTATAAGATGTCATTTAAAGTTGCTCTGTTTTAAAATGAAAACATTGATTTTGATGGAGTTGTGCTAAAAATAATGCCCTTGGGATGATACAGGTTCTTTAACTTCAGTTGTTACTTGATGCAATCAGGAGCTTTTGTATTAAAGTTTTATCTAGAGTAGTATCTGTCATTCTCCTTTGTGACGATTATTCTGTTTTTCAAATATTGTGATTACGTTCCTTAACGTTCTTTTGCTAAGAGGTGGTGGGGAGGATCTTCATGTTGTGGAATATAACTGTTGGCATATTCTTGGTTCCTGTGCTCTAAGAAATTGAGACATCTGTTAGTGAACCTCACACACTGCCTCTGAAAAGAGTTGAGACCGTAGGACATTTAAGCAGGTGGTAAATGATTTACGTTACTACTTTAATGATCTTGCAGTCAACGGTGTCCCTTCTTTGGCTGACTGTACTTGTGGGTCCTGTTGAAATGTGTGAATGGTAGGTCAGTGGTGTAGTCTGCTGTGGTGCTGTCCTCACTATGAAGCATGACTAAAATTCACCAGCAGAAATCAAGTGCAAGCCTGTACCCTAGTCCTAGAAGTTAAGTCAAATGACTATTACAATAAAGTAAAAGCTATGATTTACAGATAGTTGAATGAAATACCAACTTTTCCAGTCAGCAGAGAAAAGTTTTAAATTTTGTTTGGAGTATTTGTATTATTTCTTTTACATGTTTTTAAAGAATAAATACGTATGTGATCAGAAGAGAATAAATTTATGACTAAATGATGCTCTGCACTGTTAATTTTACTTGTTGCCTCATGGTGGTTTTTTGCCCCTACCAGAACTATTAAGTGGAGGTTATGGCTTCTGAGCATCTGGAAAATCAGCTGTAGTAGATGATGCTGCAGTGTTTGAAGAATGTGGTCTTATTAGCAGGAGTGAATGCTAGACCTGAGATAAGTGTGCTAGCACAGATATTTTTTTTTTTGTTCTTTATGTCAGTTATATAATTGATAGAAGGGCAGAGTCTTAGCTTAGTGTTGGATTTCCATGAAAATGCAAATACTGGTCTACTAGTATGTTTTTTCCTGTCATTACAGGTGTTCATGTAATAAGTAACTGTTTTGTTTGAATCTGTTTATCAGGTCTAAAACATGCCTTCCCCACTTGAGGAAGAGTAGGAACCCCCATATCCTGAACCTCAGCCCACCTATGAACTTGAATCCTATGTGGTTCAAAAATCATTGTGGTGAGTAGCATTCAGTGCCTTTCTTGTTATTTTGTTTGGGAGCCATGTCCATGCTTACTTAAATGTGCAGGGAGTGCCAGCCCAGAATGCAAGATCCTGTATCTTCAGCACTGTGTGTAGACTGGCAGTAATTGTTCTCTGGTGTGTTTTGTGCCTCACCTAAAAGGAATGGCTTCTTCTTTCCTTTATAATTACATTTCTGTTGATAGAGTGTGGGTTTTTATATTTTTTTTGTGCTTATTGTCTTAGCCTATACCATTTCTAAGTATGGGATGTCCATGTGTGTCTTGGGAATGGCAGAAGAATTTAAAGGAGAAGTTGCTGTCAATGCGCTCTGGCCTAAAACAGGTGATTTTTAATATATATTTTTTTAATGGTACTAACTAATGACTTTCTGTATTTTGTCTTCTATGGCTTGTTTTATTTGGCTTTGATTGTACTTTGGTCTTCTCCTGAAATTGAATCAGGAGACCAGGCAGTTCTTTTGTGTTATTTGTTGTGCTGGTTTTCATTTGTAGTTCTCACTGTGTAGTATCTGGCTTGTCTGTGTTCTTTCTCACGCACCCAGATCACAAAAGTATTAACATGTTTAAATGTCTGTGTATGTAGCATTGTTTAGAATTCCTTGCTAGTTAAATTGCCAGAGCATAGGTGGAATTGGCAACGTGCATACCTCTGTAAATGCAGATATAATTTAAAAACCCCTATTCCTAGAAGTTTTGGCACAGTGAGCCAGCAAACGGTTGTTCACATAACCATCTGCTTGCAAATCACAGGGAAGTAAAGAGCTCAGTGGAAGAAAAACAACTCCATGCTCTCAGGTTGTGTTAACTTCAGCTTGTTGTCTACAGGTCAGTGGGGATCAGGGCTGCCATTCAAGGTCTAGTCGACTGTGTGCTGAAGAGGTCTGTCTGTCACCCCAAGTACATCTGTGTGCATTAACATCATACTAAGGGTCATCATGCCCTTTTGAGATGTGAGCCCAGCTGTTGTGTTAGGAAACATTACAGCTGCAGAGTTTATTCCCTTAACTAATTAGGGGAGGGAGGGAGAGGAAGTATCAGTAGGAACCAAGATCCTCTTCTGAGGCAAGTGCTTCAGTGTAAGAAATGTTTGCATCCAGATTTTCAGCGGCTTGTCCCTAAAGTGCCATTGCTGCATGGGGATTATAGCTCCTCAGAATCCTATATGCAGAAGCAATTTGCTTTTCCGTTAGTGAAGGTGATCTTTTAGGTACCATTTAAAGAAATTTTTTTAGGTCACTGGCTGATTAAGCAATGTAAATTGTATATGAGAGCTAGTGAAGGAATTAACCCAGATTTCTCACTCAGACAGAGACATGCTGTCAAGCTGCAGGAAACATTACTAATTTAACTTCTTTTCTCATGCAAAAGATGTTACAAGATTACCTGTGTCTTGTAAATACACGTATTTGCATGCTGCATAGGCACAATACATGCACCTTCCACAGCTTTCTGATTCTTCAGCACCTTCTCTCTATGATTATGGATACAGCAGAGAAAATATCCAGTATCATTGTGGAAGAGTTGATGGTTTTCTGGATCCCTACATACTGTGGAAAGCTAAAGATTTTTTCTGAAGAGACCAGCTGGTTATAAGAGGTCATTATTTTGCAATGTAGGTGCTTTTCCCCACCCTTATGAATAATTGGGCCTCCTCTTTGCATGGCAAGGGAAAACAGAACCTGACTGCCCACTCAGGATGAGAAATTTTTCAGATGAATGACTAACTTTACAGGCCATTACATACTCTTGATTATATTAGGTGTTAAATGTTGCATAGTTGATTACATTATTTATTTCCAGTGTTTGCATATTTTGATGCATTCCAAATGTCAGTAATAGTACCAGTGTCCCAGGTGTGGTCTGATGTTAACAGAGGTCTGTGATGGCATTTATTGCATTTCTCTAAAATCTGATATTCTTACTGGAGAGGCAACCTAAACCAAAGAAAGTAGTATCTTTTTCTCATGCATCAGAGTTGCCACTGTGTCCTTGGCAACATATTTGTACCTGCTAAAACAGGCAAGGGAATAATGCCGCAGAAGCTGGGAGTTACTACAGAGTGCAGCTGATACCTCTTCCTCTCAGGAGCCTGCACAACATAAGGCCTGGAAGTGCAAGAAGATTCTGTTTACAAACTACAACAGAACACTTTAATAAATTATGTTTTCAATAAAGATGTATCTCTGTGAGATGCTGGAAGGTAATTTAAAAAGTAATTAAGCATTCTATGAAATCAAAGGTATGCAGATAGCTTTGTGTTTGCTGAATCCAGTCTTGCTCATTCAGCCTAAGTTAAGTTAAAAACATTAGATGAGCTCTCAAAGTTTGTATAAATCAGTGATGCCTCCCCAAAACCTGAAGTGCCCTCAAGTATAAAAGAGGATAATAATGTGCAAATACTCCAGCACAAACAATATTTTTTTTTAAAGGTTTGTCTTCCAAAAGTGAGGAAGTTCACTACTTCCCTGTAGTCACCAGAGAGACAGGGTTCCACAGTATATAAAATAAAGTTGCAACCGCCTTAATTAAAAATCCACTATCATTTCATAGAAATGTGATTAGCCTCAGTGTTGGAGTGGATGCTGGTACCTAATGATTAATGCAACACATGGAAAAATATGCTGATAATAAGATGCCAGGAACTCTCCAGGTGAAAGAGGGAGCCTATCAAAGGGCAGGGAGCAATCCCATCACAAAGAGTGCCTGTAAGAAATAGAGGTGTCCTGGGACAGTACTGGAAGGCTCTTTGTGTACATTAGAGGAAAACCAGAAGCACTTTACATGAAATAGGTGGGACAATGTACAGCCAGACTGTGAGGCAGTGCCTAATTAAAACATCTTTGCTTCAGTCTGTGAGCATAGGCTTACTGTGCTCAGAAGAGTAATAGTTGACACTAAGAGAGAGGTGACAGAAGGGTGTGTCAGGAATATGAACAGCTTAATGCATCCACAGAATAGTGGAATGTATTCAGGTCAACAGAACCTGGTAAATATCCTCAGAGCATTTGACAGAAATATTCTTTGAACTGATGTTAGTTATTAAAAAAATAATAATAAAAAATCTTGCAGGGCAGATTGCATTTCAGAGGATCAAAGAAAGGCAAATTTATTTCCTATCCTTAAAAATTAGAAGAAGACCTAGGGAGATCCAGGTGCATGAACAGTATTTTTATGTACATTTTTAATTTAGGTTGTGTTTAAAGCAGTTTAGTTGATTTGAAAAAAAGAAGCTGAGGTTGGTCAAAGGTAAATGAAACCTAGGGGCTGGTCCTCACCGCAGAGCAGTAAAATAAGGGAGTCAACAAGGTTATCTACCCACTGTGCACTTTGCTAGAAAACACTTTGACAGGCTCTCCTTCGCCAGCATTGAAATCTGCCATACTTTTTTATTTCTTAATATGGGAGTTCCTAAAGACAGGAGTGTCCTGCACAGCACCTCTTCTTTTATTTGTAAAGTATGTTGGGATAATTTCTGCATCAAAGCTTCTGTTACTTTGTGTGCAGTGGAAGCACTGAAAGGAGGACAAAAGTTATTTAAAATCAGGTTTATCCTTCTGGTTCCAGGATCTGCCAGCCCCAGCTGTAGCAGAGGATTTGTGAATCTGTCCCAAAATTCAGAGGCTATGTCTTGAACAGCTGCTTGGAAAAAGTAATGAAGCAGAACTGTGTGAGGGGAAAACAGTAGCATGACTAAGCTGAAAGCTACAACCAAGCTGCCTCTCTATGAAACAGCATGAGAGAAAAATGAAATGGATTCTTCAACCTGAAAGAGCAAATTGCAGGCTTAGGCAGGAACATGCCACTGTATTAGTAGCTCCCTCGGGGGAGGCATAAAGAAGAAGAATGGAATGGTGCAGAAGTTAGTAGAACTGATTGATAAAACAACCAGCAGTTTAGGAAATCTAGATTTTATTCTTGGGCCTTTCTGTAGAATACTAAACAAGTTATTTGGTATCTCATGGAAATTATTACAAGGCTAAAATTAAGCATCAAGATCTTCAGTGTGATAATCGCAAAAGGACATATCTCTTGATGACTGATGTTTCATACATTCACTGGAAAAATAGTTGTACTGTTAGTATTTCATGTCTTGAAGAACCTTGAGGAAATCTGTGGGTAGGGGACCACTGATAAAGGG